ATGCAATATGTAGAAAATGTGTCTGTAACATAAATCACACCATTTTCGTTTATTTTATATTTGTTTTTTAGAAGACAGTAAATAAAAATAAATAGAAAAAATTGTATTAAAAAGTAATTAATTAATTAAGGGAAGTAACTGTTCTTTGATGACGTAGAACAACAATCGATACTTTCAGTATGATGTCATTGTCGTAAATCAATAGTAAGAGCACTTTGCAACACATAGGAATTCTAAATGACTTCTCTAAATATCGACTTCATCGAATTATTTCTTCATTTCTAATAGTGTCATTTAAACACTCGTTTTAAAATTCTTTTAAAATTACAATACTTTATAAGAGTTAAATTATGTATATTTGTATTTTCGGTTTAATCTGGTTTATACGATTTTATTGATAAGGTTCTACAAATCGAAAAATTATACATAAAATATATGTATAATTTTATATAGTAATAAAAAATATATATTAATATAAATTACTATATTTCTGTATAGTAATTTCAATATTTCTGAATAAATAAATATTTCTTTCATTCTAAGACTATTTGACATCTTTGCCTTTCAAATTGTTAATATAGAATTTCCTACAGATCACAATAGATTCATAATGTTGAAAATTTATCATCAAATATTGCGGTATAATTTTCTTACTGGCAATCTCAATTAAAATATTATATAGTGTTTTGTATACTCCATATACTCCATTTCTTCATCGATATATTAATCACAAGTCAGTTTCGATTGAATTTGGTAAAAGGTTAGGTTAGATTGGAGTAGCACCCGTACACTTCAAAGTCCGCTACAAAACAAAAAATGATTTGTTATAATACTATGGATGAAAGTTATTCTAAAGTTATTCCCTACCAGATGACTACCTCCATTTAGGACATAATATCTCAATTTAGATAAATGCAAATCAAAATAACAATATCTCCATTTAGCTGAATGCAAATCAAAATAATAAATCTATAGATTTGAAAATAAAACTAAGGATGAGGGGGAATTAAGGACTACGCTCTTACATACGTTCATTCATAATTTATGCGTCATAATTATTTAATGGGATACAAATTAGTTTAATTACCGATTTTATTCTAAAGTCCAACTTTTTAAAATAATTTACTTTCTGACTACTGGTCTGATGATAGTTCTATCAAGTCAGTAAAAAAAAGGAGTTCAGAAATGAACACTGCAACCCAAAATCCTTCTCTTTTGCATAAAGTCTGCTTTTAGTTTAATTCTCAGTGAAATTTGAACTTGGTAGTATGTGTGGGACTAGTACACATTCATCGAACCATCAGGGCAGTCTACTGAATATATTTAGTCATACATTACAACTATCTACTGCATATAACTTAGAAAAAGGAATATCAATTACGTAGCAAACATATTAACTTCAATATAGCAAGTACACAATGCTCAACTTAGAATATATATACTAGCATTTAGTCTTACATCAAGCTAACAGCAACGAAAAATGGAAAACTTAAAAATAGAGTATAAAGGAAAAGTGCTAACTAACTGCACTAAAATGATGTGAGGAAAAATTTCTTTAGATAAATTTAGACTAAACATTTTTAATGTCAAAAAATAAAATAAGTTTATTTCTAAACAGTCGAACAATAAATTATTTTTGGTTTTCTTTTACACATCTTTTTTTTCATTACGGGCAAGAACATATAATTAAGTTTTTATTTTTAACATAAATTAAGTAAAGTAGCAAACAGAATAATAAATAAATTACTATAATAATAAATAATGAAATACAAAATGAAATCTCAGTTTAGGAACTTATTTTCTGCATTAAAAATTCAATAACGCAAAAGTGAAAAAATAATGCAAAACTTTCACTGTCTTAAGTTTAGAATAAAAACAAATTTGCTAAAAATCCTTACAACATAAAAAATTTAAAACCTCACGAACAGAAGAACATTTAGTAAAATTAAACTGAAGGATAAATGCAATCCAAATCCTGCAGCGTTTCTCTCAGCGAACAAATACTGCTGGATAAATGCAGAGCCCACCATTCCCGTATACTCCGGACTGTAATTGTAGATGAGTACATTAGCTTCTTCGGTTTTATTGGCGAAGCTGTTGTGATTTTTGCGCGTCTCCATCACAAAGAAATCAGCAAAATATTGCGAGGTTGTGATGGCCTTTGAGATGTGTGTAATGTTGCGATTCAGCACAAACTCGTAAAGATTTTTCTCCGGATGAAACTGTACACCATAAAAAGGATATCTGCACAAAAGAAAAATTAAATTTTAATAATTTAGTGACTTACACAGGGGAATGTGAAATTCTGCATAGTTTTACTTACTTTTTGTGCTCCACAGTTGAGATGAATTCACTTCCATTCCAATCATGATTTATACTCAAAATATTCCAATCATCCAACAGGTTCATGTCAGCAAAAGTCTGAAAAGTTGTACAAAATTAAATTATTCAAGTGGTTTGGTGGCATCAACAAAATGGCCGAAAGGCCCATATTTTAGGGTTTTATGGCACACATGGGACTTGCATGTGAATATGCAATTATTTAATCATGAAGTCGGGACTACTTCTCGCAACGTAACCAATTAAAATTTCTTACAAAATATATTTGCTAAATGTGATTGCAGTCATCACATTATTATCATTGCATAAAAACGCATTTATTATGCTTTTGCTTAGATAAGTCTATGTTTGTTGATGAAATAAAACAGTTTTTAACCCACGCAAATTAAAATTTGTAGTAAATTTAGAATTACGGTATAACAGATAATGCTTACCTTCTGCGTAAAGCAATAGATATGGAAATTAGCAGTTACGGGATAATTTTCAAAAATATTTATCACTTCAGTGCTTGCTTCCTTAAATAGGCGGCTATTTTGGTAACCTTAAAGCGAAATAGAATAAATTTTTATAGAATAAAATATTAATATAAAGTTTTTTTAAATTAAAATTATAAAAAAATAAATGTTTTATTAAATATCTTATTATTTTGGAAACTTACGACGGGCAGCAAAAAAAAAATCCTACTGGGCACAGTCAAGATCGAAGTAACAAAACTTGTGGTGGTAGTAACAGGACACTTATAACTGATCACACATGCCAAAAAAATTACCTAACCCCTTCAACTAGATATGCAGAGAATTTAAAGAGAAAGAGACAAAAGAAATAACTGAACACTTCAATGAGGGAATAAGGGTTCCAAGAACGGTCGGGTCTATGTCGCGGAGGAGCCATTCGTCGCTAACGTTAAACACCTCTTAAACAGACTTCACAAGCAGGTCCCAGCGGGTACAATAAAAACAACATGAGGGAATAAACAATGAAGTTGTTAACTAAAGAGATGGCAACAAAGACTGTCAAAAGCACTAAAGCTTGTTATGAAAAGTGAAATTGACAGGTGAAATATGCTTCAAGTTCATGGCTAAGTGCCTAGAACGTACTCATGGTATGAATAAAGTAGTAGAAATAGCAGTGGAAAGCTCCAGACATATACTTGCAAAAACGCTGAAATTAAAAAATTAATTAAACCGAATAGATAAAGAATAGTAAAAAGATTATTTAAGTTGTATTAGGAATAAGCTAGGAAGAGACGGTAGACGTTTATAGACATTATATAAATTTGTCACAGTAAGAAAGAGAGATTTAACGAAAAGGAAGAACACAAAATTTTGTATATATATATATAATTAATATATATGTTTATACTATTGTAATTTATAGTGTATATTACACAAAGTAAGTTATATCACACAAAATATTTACTTTGTAAGCTTTTGTAAGTTTATAATAAATTTAGTCTGTAGTACAATTCAAATCCATGCGTTTCACTTTGGTGAAAATAATCCCCACAGAAAATAATAATTTTAATAAGTAATATTTATTAGTATTATTATTCATTTAAAACTAGACGAATACAATACTATAATTTTTATTAACTTTTATTTTCAAAGCCAATTCTAACGAAAGAAATCGTATTTATTAATACAAACTATTTTTTTAATAGTGAGGTGTTTTGAACAATAGTGAATTACAACAACAAAATTTTTTGTTTATTAATTCTTTGAATTTTTGTCTGACCATACAGCTGTTTCGAGTATTGCCAAATACCTATCATTAATGGTCTCATATATAGCAACAGTAATAGTTTGAAAAACATATCAAAATCGTGTTATATATGGCATCAGACATTAAATAAAGAGACTATTTTGGTTACAAAAAAAGTCATTAAATCTAAACTGTTTCTTGAGAGAGATATATGTTAATACGAATAAAATTTTTGATAAAAGCCAATAAGAAGTTATTATTCCTAATAATTTAAAAAAAAATAAAACTCATATCAACGTATAGATTTTAATCTTACCATCCTTAAACTCTAATGGCAGAGCTTGCGATTGTGATGAGCAGCCAGTTCTGGGATCAGTACCATTAGCTGATAAGTATACTAAAAGTTCATAACCCAAACATGTACCCCAAATTGGCATATAAGTGCCATTATTATTCATTTCAATTGCTATGTTATAGATATGTTGACCAGCATCATAGTAACCATCACTATTATTAAAATATGTAGCACCTCCGGGCAATAGGACCCTTAAATTAAAAAGAATAGATAATTAAAATTGAAGAATATATAAATTTATTAGTACTCACCCATTAATTTTAGACATAATATCTTCATAGTAATCACGTTCTTTACCAATCCTGTCAAATTAAAAATAATAATTATTAATTGGTGTTATGCTATGTATCAGTTATTTATAACATTTATCTGGAGAACTATTTTACTACATAAAAAAATCTAAATATAAAGTATTTTAAAAATTTGTGATCAAATCTTTTTTTCAGTGACGTGAATTTCTTATCGTTTACGCACGGTACCGAAATAATTTTACCTATGTATCTCCATCTATATATTATAGCGTCTAGCTTAACTTGACAAAATTTATAAATAATTTTGACAATAATATCTGTCACGATCTTAACTATTAACGTGCACTTCAACTTGTTTCACTATTTTTGTCATCAAATTTTTGATAAGGAACTATGCCATTCCAAGCAATAATTCATTGACGATTACTGGTCTGAAAATATTAACACTATATTTTATCAATAGAAGCAATTATTTATAGAATGCACTAATTAAGAAGTCATATATAAAAATATATTTAATTAAATATATTATTCATATATGCCATACATTTATACTAGTATAGTTTTAGAATGGTTGGTTGGTTGGTTGCAGTGTCAGACCATTAGATAACTTTCATTAGATAACTTTAGCGATTTTGCGCCGTTTTGCTACCACATTGCTCGCAAGAACCCTAGTATAGAAGAGTAGAGACTAAATCCATCCCGCCGAATTTAGATAATTTAATAGACCTTTCGTGTTCACCAATAAACAGACTGATAAACTATCTAAGAAGTATCATCCTAAGAACCTATATCTTCTGGACACCAAAGACGAGCATTGACAAAGTAAATGTATTATGGTTTCTTTTTTCTGCGGGTTTGCACAACTTCTGCAGTGAGGATTATGGGGAATGCGCAGTTTCTCTGCGTTTGTTTCTGTACACCAATGACCAGAAAGAATTTAGATTTAGATTAAGGTTAGAATAATGGAATTAATTCTGTCACATTTTTTTTAATTAACCTCTACAATAATAATGTTCTAAAATGATATTCTAAAATAAAATATTCTAAATAAATATTTTTAAGGTGTTCTTTTAAGTAATGTAGAACTGAAAAAAAAACTTACACAATTATAGCAAATAAATCAAATACTTTTTTAATTTATAGATAATTTATTGACATTAATGACTAAATACCATAGTCGGTCAGTTGACCTTCACTAAACGGCCTAGGTATTCCATACTAAAACCCCAATTCAACACAATTTTTTTTGAATATGTAAGCCCGAATCTCAAGGTTGCTTATAACACTGTTATTATTATTAACTGGTACGAATAATTTAAAATACTTTCACAAAAAGGAATCCACCGTCGGTAAATCACCCAATTAAGAAAAACAAGAAAGTTGTTTTAACAACTTGTATCTTATCTAACAATGTTACATGTGGAACAGTCTCAGTCAAATAAATCATTAATTATGAGACTATTCCGAGTGTCATTAGAGTAGACACTCTGATATTATAATCATATCAGAAGTCCATCAGTCCACCAACAATATCGAATAGTAAAATTTAAAGGATTTAAGGATAAGAATAAAAATCCCATAAACATCACGTGCACAGACGCAGGGGTATTCGGGTGGTGATTTGCCAAAAATTAGTTAATAAAAATTTGATGTTATTTAACAGATTAATTAGTAGCTTTTTGAGTGGTGTTATATTTATTATAGAAACTAGATATAACTTCGTCTAATGATTACTGTCCAAACTGCGAGTCAAAAGTTATAGAAGAAAATGCATTTGTGTGATGTGACATCAGTTTTCAATCACTGATATACATGATTAAATTAGAATCCGATTAAAAATTAGTGATATCACTTAATATAGTATAAATAAATCCATAAATGTTTTAAGACACAAAAAAGTGCAAGTGTTTCATAAGAATCAAATGCACCTTGACATTCTTAGTCAAATTGCTATTGGTAACTGCTACCTATAAAAAAGCATTGTGTAGTATGTGGTAGACGCGATAAGGCGTCTATTGATGAATTATTGTAAGTTCTCGTATCTACACTTATGAAGGAATTTCTTTCACCTCAGATAGATATTAATCATTAAACCACATCAATGTTTGACACTCCGTTTCGTGAATCAATTCTTTGTGGAAAATATTTTATCTACATTATAAAAAAAAGGACATTGGAACTGTGGGTTTTCTAGCTCGACCTCTGTTCAATATTGGAGCTATCTGTAAACCAGACAATATCGTTGATTGTGTTGTCTGGTATAATAGAACTACGCTTTCTGTTGGTCATGTGTTTTTTGGTTCATATAATATACAGACATATCAAAGTATTAGAATTGTTTTAATTTAACCAATATGAATAGGTGTCTAACACTTTATGTCTTTTTGTCCAGTAGACAAATATGATAAAGGCTATATATGCTGATGGATGCAAATACCTGCAACATAAAACTTAGTGGCAATATACCTAATACAACTTTTCTAAATGAATAATAGTGATTGTTTTTAAAGTTTTTGTTCTTTATTGTCGGTACAATCAATAATGGTATTGTCGGTACAATCGTCTGGAGGTATATCTGCTCAACCGTATATAACAAAGCCCACAAACTCTACAAACTCGTTTTCATAGCCAAAAAGCTAATGGTTTTTTGAACTATGCGAAAAAAACCAACCTTAGAAAACCAATCTTAGTAACAATCCCTATCTGATACAACAGTTTTAAAACTTTAATTATGCGGTCTATGTAAGGTGCACACAACTTGATCATCTTTATCTGTAACCACTATTACTAATCTATCTGCATAGACAAAAACTTTATATACGTGAGAGCCTGGTTTAGGCTATCTATGACGATAAAAGTAGACTAAAAAGAAAATCAAAGAAAGTCTACTTAGCAAGGATGACATTTTCAATATTTGATTTTGAAAATTTTTTGAATTTAACCCATTTTTATCGACATTTGAATATTTTTTTTCGATTTTTCCAGTTTTTTTTTTGTTGCGGTTAAAGTGATTTCTTGATGGTTAAAATGAAATAATGCTGACGAAATAAAATGTTGATGGCGTTTGAAAAGAACGCAAAAAAAATTTTCATTTTTCATCTGCATTACCAAGACATATTATATATCTACAGCTGACTAAATAGAACATCTAAAATTTGTTTTTTTAAAACAGATAATTAATAAAAGTTTAGTTAGAAATTAATTACTTGTGATTATTAATAAAGAAAAAATCTAAATGAAAAAATCTAATGACAAACACTACTGGTACAATCGATTATATATAAAAATCTAGGCACATTTATATTAGCTCTTATATGATAATAATATTGATATCTGTGTTCAGTCGACAGTACATGAACCAGTACTATAAGATATCAAATATACTAATTTATCACATGCAAGTTAGAAAAGCATAAGCAGTCATATATTGCAGTGTAATTTTTATTTTACATTTTTTCCATACTACACTCTATATAGTACTTTTTGCTATAAAATATTTGCTATAAAACATGTACAAAATACTGTTTTCATGAGTCAGCATAATTTTTAAAATACATAAATAAATTTTTAAACCTGTACTAATGGAAATATTTTAAACTTAAATACACTATATTTCAAGAAATACGTAAATTCATATTAAGAATTTGTTAAACTGGTCAAGTACTGACACCTGATAATTTAGATAGCAACAAATCGTCATATTTATAAAAAAGATTAGATAAATACAGTTCTTGTCTCGGTTTATCTTATATTTTTTTATTTTTTATTTAAATATGTAAAAAATAAGTAAACAATTAGTTTGTAAAAATTTATAAAAATCATGAATACAAAATCTTAACAGGGGGAATCACAAAGTTCACCTTAAACAAATAATTTAAAGATTATAAATTTTAAATTAAGTGATATTTAAAAAAATTATAGCATTTTAATTAATAAATATTAAGAAGCAATATATTGTTGATGATGAATTTTTATAACCTTTTTTAACAAAAAAAATTTAAGATATTTGATGGAAATCTTTGAAGTCAGTAGTCAGCAAGAATAGTAAGTTTAATACAGCAACAACCCGACGTATAATTAGATCCATTTAAGGAGGATTTTAAAACTAATTCAATATTCATATGAAAACATTGAATTAAATAAATTTATTATATGTAATGTAAATAGATCTGAAATATAGTAGAAAGTGTTTGAACTTTCGGAGCAGGAATATTAACTCTAAGTTCAATAAAGGAACTGAGCCGCTCATTGAATAT